CTTCCAGGCTCTAGAAGGGCATATCCATCTGTCCACAAACATCCAATGAGGACCTCTTAAGTTCCAGGCCTTGTGCGACTTAGGGAGAGCACAAAGGCAAATGGCTCCATGTTTAAATTTTATCCTTGGGCTCCAACATATTTGTAGGGGCACATACCTAAGGTGGTAGAAATTATTTTTAAAATGAAAGGAATTGATAAAACACACATTTCAATGTAGTGGTTACCTCTGGGGAAAGGCCAAGAATGGGATCTGGAAGAGCCTGTAGGCAGCTTCAGGGGTGGTAATTCTTAGAGTGGAAGGTGGGTCACAGTGCCTGCTTTATTATTATTCACTATAGCTTACATATGGGCTTTCCAAGTGGCTCTAGCGGTAAAGAACCCACCTGCCAATACAAGAGATGTAAAAGATGTGGATTAGCTTCCTAGGTCGGGAAGATCCCCTGGAGGAGGGAACAGAAATCCACTCCAGCATTCTTGCCTGGAGAATCCCATGGACAGAGGAGCCTGGTGGGCTATAGTCCATGGGGTCACAAAGAGTCTCACACGACTGGGCAACTTAGCATAGCACAGCACAGCCTAGCTTACATATGTTATACCTGTTCTTTATGAGCAGTATATTAAATACATAATATTTAAAAAGAAAGAAATAAGGCAGCACAAATAATTTAAAATAAGAAACAAAATGCGGGGGATGGAGAGAATGAAAGGAAGGAAAAAAGGGGAAAAAAACATGGTCCACATTCTAAAGAGCCTCACATCCTAGTAGAGCAAAGAGTCATGTTAACTACAACATGGTAACCATGACAATAGAACTTTTTAAAACCTTCAAAGGAAGTACACGGGGCTTCCCTGGTGACTCAGTGGTAAAGAATCCACCTACCAATGCAGGAGACTTGGGTTGAAGCCCTGGGTCAGGAAGATTCCCTGGAGAAGGAAATGGCAACCTACTCCATTATTCTTGCTTGGGAAATCCCATGGACAGAGAAGCCTGGCAGGCTACAGTCCATGGGGGTCTTAAAAGAGTGGGACATGACTTAGCAGGTAAAACACAACAAGGAAGTACATAGTAATAAAGTTAACAGCAATGGCATGTAAAATTCAGATCCCTGAGCGTCTTCACACTTAAAAACCTGGTTTTACCCTTTATAAGTGTCAATCTAGCATTACTTCCCAGAACCCCAAAGTCTGGGTTCTATGGTCCTCCTCCGTATACTCAGAGGACTCAGCACTTTCCCCAGAAACACACACGTATGTGGAGCCCCTGGCTTACTGTTGTATTCCGGTGCCTGGCTCACTGGCTGGCACATCAATAAAGAGTTGCTGAAGCAACAAATGAAGAGCATTACTAGGTTGCCTGGAGAAGCCCATGGACAGAGGAGCCTGACGGGCTACAGTCCATGGGGTCGCACAGAGTCGGACACGACTGAAGCAACTTAGCACGTATGCACACCCTGAGTTCACATCTGTTAAGTGGTGACTGAGACAGGAGAGAAAAGAAAGGATGAAAATGCAAAGCTGGAGAATTTCATCCCAAACTCAAGAAGGCCTCAGGTCTGCACAGACAAAACCCCTCCATCACCCTTGGTAGGCTGGGCTCGGCCATGCAGGAGACCACGGCATTGCCCACAGATCCCAGGATCAGGTTCAGGCACAGCCTCCATCTCTCAAGAATGGTCAGGCCCGCCAGTCGCCTGGGCAGAAATCAGATCTTCCTGGCAGAGGCTTGCAGAGCCTGCGTTATCTCAGCCACAAGGGTGAGCACAAGAAGCCAAAACTGCGGGAAGATCCAGTTTCCCTGAATAATGTTGCCACCACACAGGACGAGGGAACACCCCTCCCCCTGAAACTGCTGTAAACTCTCTTGGATACAAAAGGACTCAACAAACAGAACTGCCAACTGAGACCTCAGAATGCTCCTCAGATGTCAACAGAAGAACGTGATCCCCAACTCATGACAGCAGCACTGGTCACCTAACAAACGCTCGACAAATTGTGCATCATCGGAGCGTGTGCCTGTCTGACTAAAGTCAATGGGAAAGAAAAGAGGGGATTATGTTGGTCACAGACCAGTGTCATATAGATAAAAGGTCACTGTGCTAGTGTGATGTTGCTATGGATTTGATTTTTGCCTTGAAATATTCCAAGAGAAGGCTTATTCTAGCTTCATTACTTGAGTGATACTGCATCTGAAATTAGGTTTAGCAAAATATATTTAGCTCTATGTTTGGAAATATAGTGAGTCCCAGATCCACAGCCTCTAGAGACCTCATATTAAATTGCCTTCTACAAATGTCCTCCCCTTTTTCTCCATTCAAGCAAAATTGGTATAGCCCTTATTCCACATGCCACGTTCTTTCCAGGGCAAACAGATGGAAGGAAGAGAACATGCCAGAAAGAAGAAATGGAAAATGAAAATGACATTGTAATGAAAATAAAACTGCAAAATATTATCTGGGTCAACTCTTCATGCGCTTTAAAATCAGCACCAGCAGGCTCTGCACATATGGCATTGGTTTTACTCTGTTTTTTTGGTTCAGATGTCACAGAGGATTAGTGCAAAAAGAAAAACCCCAGCATGGGGCCTATTTTTGTACAGATTAATCAATCATTTCCCTTCCTTTCCTTTCTCATCACTCCCAAAACTCAACTTAATGAAACGGCTCTCATTCAAAATATGTCATTTATCGCACACTGAATAGAAAGCCTTTCAGGAAAGGAAGTGAGCTTAGAATCGGAACCTAAGTTTTTTAATGTCACATTTTTAATACAAGGTATAAATATTAACTACACTTAGCTACGGCCCAACCCCTTTTAGCTTACATATCTGTTGTGGAATCTTACATATCCGTTAGTGGCAGCAAAATGAATTGGCAAACATTTCATTATGTAGATCTAGATACGGCCATCTGACAAAAACAGAAAGCCACACATCTGAAAAGAAAATACTACTGCACATCGCACGTTTTGTTTTGTTGTCTACATTTTCAAGTACACTGAATGTCATAATTCCCATCAGAAGACCGAGCCCCAAGCGCATGGTTAGGTTCTTAGCATTTGCTAGGAAATCTGATAAGCTGAATGGAATCAAACCAAAGAACTGTTCAAGCCCTTCGATACACCCTCCCTTAACTACAAGCCATTGTAGAAACGATAATGATGCTTACAGTAATCATAATACAACAGCAGTGACTATTTAGTATATGTCATGGGCTACTGATGATGTCACTGAATTTTCAAAAGCAGCCTAATGTCATAGGTACTATTATTAGTTCACTATATAGATGAGGGACAGGGAGGTCTGGCATGCTGCGGTTCATGGGGTCGAAAAGAGTCGGACATGACTGAACGACTGACCTGGACTAAACTGAACTGATATAGATGAGGAAACAGAGAGCAAATTCCGATATTTTGAGGTTGAAAAAAATCCCATACTCTGCTGGTTTGCAGAGATGCGCAGGAGAATTTGTCACAGGCACAAAGAAAACAGGAAGTGGAGCCTATAATACCGGAAGTGGAAGTGAAAGGCGCTCAGTCGTGTCCGACTCTTTGCAACCCCACGGACTATACAGTCCATGGAATTCTCCAGGCCAGAATACTGGAGTGGGTAGCCTTTCCCTTCTCCAGGGGATCTTCCCAAGCCAGGGATTGAACCCAGGTCTCTCGCATTGCAAGCAGATTCTTTACCAACTGAGCCACAACGAATGAGGTGAAAAACTTTGCAGAAAGTGTCATGGACATTGTTTCCATGTCTTTAAAGCCACGATCACTACAGAGTGTATCATGAACCTTTATTTGTCTGCTGCCCCTTTGATGAGTGGAAATTATATTTATAAAATATTAAGACAGTGACCTAAAGCCCGACCTCAGTGACAAAATCAGAGCCAGGAGTCACCAGGACATTCACATCCTCAAAGGGTGGTAACTTTTCACCATTTGAGGGAATTAAAATTGAGCCATGACTAACAGCTGGAAGAGATGACATTACACCAGTTCTCCTCTGCATGAATGGTTAGTCATGAGCAGAGAAAATAAGAGACATTTACAATCTAATGTGACACTCTGTGCTCACTGTTCTATATACTAAAAATGAATCACTCTTATACCAATACAGTGTATATTCTGCTTTTTGTCTAGAGCCAGCTACCTACTGCGGACAGTCTGAAGATCTAATTTAATGTAATTTTAGAATTACTGAACTAAAGTTGGGGTGACCATACATATAGTCTTTTGTTTCCACTCATTAATTTTAACACCGCAGGCATTAATCATTTACCCAGCAGATGAAATCTGCTCTAAGATGACTCATGTGTTTTACAACATTGCAAACCCAACCCTTATGTTTTTGGAAGGTACAATAAAGCGGAAGTGTTAGAGCAAATCATTAATAAACACAAAATTCTTCCCCACCCCAATTCCATGGACCTGAAGAGTTTCTGAATTTTTTCTGAATATTATATGAGAAAAATAAATTAAAACTGGTTAGAGGGATGGTCTCTGAGTAATTTCCATGGTGAACTGGCAGAGAGGAGCACATAAGCAAGATCATTCTTGATAATAAATACATCGAGTCTCAGCTGACACAGAGGCCCCATCGCACACTCTCTGCAGGGCCAATTAGCATTAATTGTGCCTTCGTTCATCTATTCTCATAGCACGTCACTGGGGAAGGACAAGCTCTGCATTTATAAATGCAGCATGCAAGGCTCAGAGTTAGGAGAGCATTCTAAAATGTAATCATCCATGTCCATCTTTTCCCCTTTGCCTCAAATGGCAGATTCACAAATGACAAGGGGTATTTAAAACAATATAGGTGTGTGTTTTCAAAGTTTAGTTTCAGACTCTGCATTCAGGATATCTGAAAGGTAGACAGAGTTGAAAATTTGTTTCCAGACTACATTTTTAGCCTACCACAAGTAACTTGACACACACATATACACAAAGAACATATCCTCTGGGATCCAATATAATTATTTACTTACTGTGACTAATATGACTTACTTAGAAGATAAGCTCCGTAGACTTTCATGGCAAACACTGCCTCTGCAAACAGCCTCCCACCTCAGGCTGGGGTATGTCTTGTGCAGAAATACAGTATGTGCAGCTCAGCTCATCTCTCCGTGGAGTACAGTCTCAGAGTGGGGTATCCATGGAGACCGAGCCTCCTACTTGTACAGGGCAAGGAAGTTACTCTGCTGGGCACCATAGCAACAGGAGGCAGAGGGGAGGCTGGCCAATCAGGAGAGAGCACAAGAGCTTCTCCTTGGTGACTGCAGCATTTCAAATGAAACCATCACCCTCATGAATGGACACAAAGCATTTAAGGAAACATCAAATTGTCAAACAGAGGTAAAGGCCTACAGGCTTTCTTTGACAATTGTGGAGCAACACTTAAGAGTCTTTCGACAGTGATTATATCCCAAAGAGCGAGGAAGAAATTACATCAAAACCCAACACATTCCTACATGGAATGGCAAGCACGTGACACTTTGAGGAAAATACTCAGTGTACTTCCTGACTTCCAGCTATTTAAATATGCAAGGCACTTCACAGTCCTCCCGGGGAGGGAGGACCAGGAGACAATCGTTGTTCTGAAGGGAGAAAATGGAATTGAAGGCTGTCTGAGACAACTGTTGGCACAGTGTTTCCAAACAGGAGAGCAAAGATGTTTATTAAGCTTCCAGAAAAGCCATTTATTATATTAGAATAATTCTTACTAAGAAGGTAACAGTGATAAAATAGGACCAATGCAAACAAGATGGTAAGCGAGCATTCAAATACCTTAAAGTTGTGCTATTTGTAAACTTTGCTCATTTAATAACCTCAATGATCATTTACTGAGCACACACTGCACAACAGGAAAATACTGTAACTACAAACACTTGCCAAATGCTAACACTGATTTTTGCAAAGGTATAGGACATGCACGTTTACCTCTCAGTGTCGTGCAGTATTTACTCGATGCACATATGGGCATATCTCACCTTACTGTGTTTTACTGCATTGTGCTTCGCAGATACTGCTTTTTTTTTAATTGAAGGTATGTGGTACTGTGAGTTGTCAGATGATGATCTGCATATGATAGCATAAAGTATTTTTAAATGTATATATTTTTAGCCCCAATGCTATTGCACATTTCATATACTACAGTAGAGTGTAAATATAACTTTTATATACTTTAGGAAACCAAAAAATTCATATGACTCACTTCATTGCAATATTCACTTGACTGCAGTGGTCTGGAACCAAACCCATAAAATCTCTAAGGCAGGCCTATACTCCGTTACATACATAACATGTATGATTCTCACATTAACATGAGAAAGATAAGTATTAATTGTTCCTCTATATGACAAAAGAGAAACCATTTCCTCATATTTACAAAAGAAACTATCCAGCATGTGAACTCCCCTGCCTCCCACTGCTTGGCAAGTGACGTGGTACACCCTATTCAATACCTAAATATAAGGTGAGGCACTCTCTTCCCACAATTACCTCACACAAAAGAAAGCTCCTTATTTTAAAGTCTTTCCAAAGCCTCTTATTATAAAGCTCTCTCTTATAATTACCTTCTTTGACCAAAAAGTGTCATTTGAAAAAGACACATGGGACTGAATCAACCTCAATCAGTTTTGTTTTGCGCTGCCTTCAGGGGTCGACTGATGGAATTGTTTAAAATGGGGGCGGGGGGCAGAAATTCAAAGCTAGATTTTGTAATTATTCCTGTGGTAAGACTCCTCCAGCCTTTTTTAAAGATCAATTTAAATAGCAATGTTGTTCAGTCGCTAAATTGTGTCTGACTATTTGCAATCCCGTGGACCGCAGCACGCCAGGTCTCCCTGGCCCCTCACTGTCTCCCTGAGTCTGCCCAAGTTCGTGTCCACTGAATCGGTGATGCCATCCAACAATCTCATGCTCTGCTGCCCCTGCTATTAAATAGCAATAGTCAAAGGTTAAGTTATGGAGATTGAAAAAAAACCGTACTCTCTTTGCTAACTGGACTCAGTAACTGAATAGCTCTGGGTATTGACTGATACTGACATTGCCTCTACAGGGGAGCAGAAAAACCACCTGCCTCCATGCTCTCCGTGGGTGCTGTGACGGTCTGCTAGCTGTCGTCCCATGTCCAGCCCCATTCTTTCCTTCTTCCATAATAATAGATGCCCAGCTGACCAAGATGTCCTGGGATATAACTGGAAATGACATGTGCCACTTCTGTGCCCTGACCCTAAAATGATTGGGTGAGTATCCCCTGGTGCCTCTCTCCCTTCCTTCTTCCTGGAGGACGACAGCCAACCTGACATGCTGCCTACCGGCCTCGGTCTCGCAAACACCTAGGGACTGTTTTATGACGAAGATCAGCTTCTGTCTAGTTTTTAACCTCTGGATTTGGGAGCCTCTTATACATTAACTTAACAGCTACCCTCACAGTACTCTCAGGCTCAAAAATAATGTCCAATGAGAGCTCCAGATATGAATTCAAAATGGCTTTGTATCAAACAAATTGGGCAGAAGTGAAGATAACTTGCTCTGGAAAAGACACCCGAGTTGAAAACTATCTCCAGGGAGGAGGAGGGTCATAAATTTTTTATATTAATGATGAATGACAAGATCCCTACTTCTAAATAAATAACAGAGTATACATTTGTATGTTTAACTAAAAAAATAAATTTAAAAAACCTACCAGTTATTGACTATTTCATCCATCTCTAAAGGTTTACTCAGGTTAGCAAATAAAATATTTTTAATCTCATTAGGAAAATGAAGGACCTTGTATTCACTCATATACACTGTCTCCTACATTTGGCTGTTTTCACTGCCTCTCCTTCATTAACCTGCTTCCAGTTTAATCTATTGATAATGCAAGCTCCACAGAGGAACCAAAAGGCCTTGAACATATACACTAAATTGTGTTGCATTGAGAGCATGCTCAGTCGTGTCTGACTCTGTGCTCTATGGACTGTAGCCCACCAGGCTCCTCTGTCCAGGGAATTTTCCTGACCTAGGGATCGAACCCACATCTCCTGTGACTCCTGCATTGGCGGGCAGATTCTTTATCACTGAGCCACCTGGGAAACCCATATATTAAATTATGTCTCTCTTAAAACTGGCCAGTAGGTTCCCATTGCTTGATGCAGACTTCACTTGCAACTACTCTTTCCTCTTCCTAGCTCACTGCTTCGCTCCCTGTCCCCGCAAACCCTATGCAAGTGCAAAGGAATATGACTAAGTTCTCAGCTCAAATGTCACCTCCCCAGACACTCCCAGCCCAACGCTCGTCACCGGCTATAGCATTACCTTGTTTTACGTGTCACTATCTGAACTTATCTTGTTTGTCTGCTTGTGTATCAGCCATCTCCCTATATCAGGCAGGTTCCAATAGAACAGGCATCTTGTCTGTTTTTCCCCTCCTCTGTCCCAAAAGCATGGAACAATGGTGTCAGCACAGAATAAATGCTTTATCAATACTTGTTGAGTGAATGAGTGAAAGCTGGTCCATCAGTGTACAGCCGGGATTCAAACTGAAGTTGAGCAGAATCCTTACAGGTGGTGAAGTGAGGATTGCTGTCTTTTAGACTCCTACACAGCAATCACCTTCCTGCAAAGCCACAAACATTCCAGTCCATGTAATGGACTTGAATTCAAAATGGCTTGGATTGTAAGTCCACTGTAGCTAGTTTCCCGAAGCTCACCTCACTTAACCGTGGCCAGCATCCACATTGCCTACTGCTGAACCTTGGCTGTTAGACACAGGTTCAGGTGGTGGAAGACTGTAACTCACTGAATTACCCCAACGAACTTACATAAGTTTGGTTCAACACATAACTTTCATCAGTAGCCCAGTCCACCCACACTCCACCCAGCGAATTATACAGACAGAGAAGACAGAAGTCCCCTCCACCTCCTCTCTTGTTAGGTGCATTGTTTTGCTGGGTTTCCCTAGTGGCTCAGATGGTAAAGAATCTGCCCACAATGCAGGAGACCCGGGTTCGATCCCTGAGTCAGGAAGATTCCCTGGAGGGGCGCATGGCAACCCAATCCAGTAATGTTGCCTTGGAAATCCCATGGACAGAGGGGCCTAGTAGACTATAGTCCAGTCAGTCAGCTCAGTCGTGTCTCCTTTTGACCTCATGGACTGCAGCACACCATGGACTACAGTCCATAGTGTTGCAAAGAGTCAGACATGACTAAGCGACTAACACTTTGCTACCAAAGTGCATGGTTCCCTCACATGCAGCCTGGGAATTCTCTGGCTCTGGGTTCTGGCATCTCAACCTTCCTCTGGCCTCTTCACACCAGGGAAGGGCTTCAAGCTGCTCCATCCCCGGAATGGTTGTGCTATGTGCTAAGTTGCTTCAGTCGTGTCTGACTCTTTGCAATCCTTTGAACTAAAACCCTCCAGGCTCCCCTGTCCCTGGGATTCTCCAGGCGAGAATACTGGAGTGGGTTGCCATACCCTCCTCCAGGGTATCTTGCCGACCCAGGGATCAAACTCACATCTCTTATGTTTCCTGCATTGGCAGGCGGGTTCTTTACCACTCACACCACTTGGGAAGCCCCATACTGGTTGGGTTTCCTTAATTAAGCCCATTTCTGTGCATGCAGTCTCCTCAATAAACTCTTCTCAATTGGCGGGGGACGGGGGCGAAGCCCAACCTACAGCATATATCTGCATGATTTACAACTCTTAGTTTATAGGTTTGTGTATAAAAGAAATTTTCAGGTTTATTTCTCTTGGGCTGGTAGTCGATAAATATCTTTAATGGTGGGTGTGTGGTCTGCTGGGGCATCTGCTATGTGTAAGATACCACTAACGCTTTGTTCTCAGCACATTAGAGCACTTAGGAAGCATCTGGCGGGCCCCCAAATTGGTAGCTATAACACTGTAGGTGCAATAAATCCCAGCAGACCTGGGATATGGACAGCAGTCACCTCTGAGAAGAAGAGGATTAGAACTCACTAATTCTTATGGGAAAACCATTAGCAGACCATTTGGCCCCATCACATTGATTGGGTGTACCATCAAAGGCACAGATGGGAGAAAGGCATGAGAGTAAATATGTAAGAGACCCTGCCATAAAGATAAACACCCAGGGCTCCTCATCACAGTTAAGCTTTTTTTCCTGCCGATCTGGTCTCTGCTGGAGAGAAGAGGTAGATTATACAGCAGTTCATCATAAAACATTTTGTGCTGATTCCTGGGGGGACATTTTTTCTCTCAGAGTGAAAGTTTCAGAGATCCACTTCGGTATCAGTGCAAAAGCTCCTGTTTAAGTTGGCAAAACCTAATCATTGTTTATGAAACTATTGATGACACACAGGGCTGCACATAAAACACTGTGACAAGTAGAGAAAGAAGTAGATCATTATTAAGTGGAAAACTCTGAAGACCTTAACATTCTTTGATGGTGACATCTTCATGGTTTATTTTCCTGATCTGCATCCAAATAGCCTCCTGTGTTCAATTTTCGGTATTTCATTGAAGTTACATTGAGGTTCATTGATTTGGTTAGCAGCAGCCAGCATAATATGTATATGGACTGTATCAGCTAATCTATAGGGCTCCACAGATATTTTTTTAAAAATCCCTGTCTTATATAAACTCATCTTTCTCAATTGTCATACTTCCCTGTTACAATTAAAATTATTCCTTTGACGTTGGACCTTACAAACCAGTGTGGTAGTTAAGAGTCAAAAGCAAAACTATCCTGTTTAGAATCCATTTACAGACTGTGACCTCGCATGAATTAGTGTCTCTATGGCACAGTTTCTCCATCTGTAAAAGAGGGGACAATGATACCCCCTTCTCACACTGATATGAGG